TCAGCACCAAGTCAGGAGGTCATTGGTCAGTGCAGCTGGTCCTGATGTTGGCCATGGAGCCACTGTCTGGTGTCCTGCCTTCCTGGGCCTATAGCTGAAACACCTGTGAGGCCTCGATGTGTATGATGTGTGTCAGAGCCTCATGGTCCTGGGGGCTCAATGCTTAAGGGCTGTTCTCTGGCCCCCTTGTTTCTTCCCTTTCAAAGGGATCTGAGAGGGTGACTGGCCACCTGTCAGGGAGGCAGAGGTCAGGAGAGGGTCCGCAACCACATGACCAATCATATGAAAGGTCAGGGGTTCTAACCACATGACCAGGGATGTGCTAGGGGAGGAAAGGTCCCCCTGGGAGCAAGGCCCCTGCCCAGGGTTGCCTGTTGCCAGGTTCCCAGGGATTTCCACCCTGGGGACCTTGTGTACCCACCCTATCATCCCACTCTGCTCCTGTCTGTCTAACAGCATTGGACACAAACCAGGTGTGTGTGTGTGTGTGTGTGTGTGTGTGTGTGTGTGTGTGTACATGTGTATGGGGAGGAGTCACTGCTGGAAAAGGCAGCAGACTCAGCAGTTACAGGGAACTGAAATGCAGAGGAAAGGAAAAGGGAAGAAAGGGACAGGGGAGGCAAGAATGAGGGGAGGGAGAGAGGATTCTGGGCAAGAACCCCACCCCAGCCCACGTGACCCAGGAAGTGATCTTGACACAGGAGGAGGCTCAGCACTAGGGGAGGAGGGACACAGATCCCACACAGCAGAACCCCAGTGCCTGTGAGCAATTCTGGATCCAAGCTCATCTCAGAGAGGGAGAGACAGAGCAGCCAGCAGGTGCCATGGAGACCCCCTCAGCCCCTGCCCACAGAGGATTTGTCTTGTGGAAGGAGTTCCTGCTGGCTGGTGAGGCACCAGAGTTACCTGGGGGTGGATGGGGGGATCAGAGGCAGAGAGTGGCTGGGGACTCCTGGGGAGCTCAGGGCTCTCAGGTTCAGAGGCCCTCCAGTAATGGTGGCCATGCTGCTGACCTTGACCATGGGAGACACATTCACACACACTCATATACACTCAGCCACACACACAAACACACACACATACACAGAACAAGGCTGAGAGATGAACAAATTTGCTCAGGACCTAGGGCCTCATCTTTCCCTCCCAACACATAGACCCAAATATTGGTCAATTTCTCTCTTCCCTCTTAGTCTCACTGTTAACCTTGTGGAGCCCGCCCAGCACTGCCCGACTCACTGTTGCATCAATCAATGCTGCGGAAGGGAAGGATGTGCTTCTCCTTGTCCTCAATCTGCCTGAGAATCTTGTAAGCTATTCCTGGTACAAAGGGGAAAGGGTAGACAGCAACCATCAAATTGCAACATATATAATAACACTTGCAAGAATTCTACCCGGACCTGCACACAGCGGTCGAGAAACAATATATTCCAATGGATCCCTGCTGTTCCAGAAGCTCACCCTGAATGACACAGGATACTACACCGTACACACTGTAAGGAAAGATTTTCAGAATGAAGAAGCAACTGGACAGCTCCGTGTGTACAGTGAGTGATTGCTCCTTGACCTCTTGGTGTTGGGTGGGGTGAATTCTACTCACACACAGGTCTCACACCCTGGACTCTGCCTCCATCCCCCTCTGCTTCAGGTCCCAGGGTGGGTTGGGCATTTAGAGCAGGACACACACAGTGGAGACAAACTTCCACAGATCAGAGTTCCCTCCCCAGATTCCAGCCCTGCATACATTCACTGCAGAGAGAAAGACCAATCTGATGGGAGTAAGTCAGCAGAGGGAAACCAAACTCAGTCCAGCTCCCTGGACCCTCCACATGACCTTGATCCTGAGAAAGACCCTGCAGGGCTCAGTCAGTGCCTGGACTGACGGTCCCCCAAATCCTCACAGAGAAGCTCAGCCCAGGAGCCCCTCCCTAGACCCCTGTCCCAAACATGCTGACTCCAGGGGTCCTGGGCAGCCTGTGTCAGGGTGGGTTGGGCTGTCTGGGAAGCTCCATGCCCAAGGCTCCTGAGCTGGTCACCAGCCAGGGCTCAGCCCCAAGACCCACATTAGGGCAGCAATGGAGCCTCATCCTTCACCTGAGACAGTGTGTGGAGGGCACAAGTAGACAAGCTCCCAGAACCATTGGCTGAATGCCCTGGAGGACACAGGAGACTCCAGTGGATGGTCAGCGCCTCCAGGGAGGAGCAGGAAGTGTGTTCCTGACAGCTGCTCCTCCACCAGGAACCAGCCCAGGGATTCGCTGCCTTTGAGGCACATATTGGGAGTTGTCACTTGTATGGGCAGTTCCTCTGTACTTAGTTTTGGTCAGGTATTTAGGAACGTTTTCAAGTAAATTCATAGACAACATTTATAACCAGGAGTCCATTAATCATATACCAGATTTTTATTCAGAGAAACTGAGGCACACTGTGATGCAGTCATTGGATCAGGGTCACACAGAGCGTGAGCAGCAGATCAGACACAGCTAGTGGTTGTCCTTGTACAGCCACAGCCCTATTCGCTCCTGTCCCTGGGGTCTTCTTAGGTGTCTGTGGAGACCGAGCTCAGTCATCCGTTCAGGTCCTTTCTTCTTAGGCATCCTTGCTCAAGGCAGAGTTTCTGGTCTTCAAAGTGATAGCATATAGACAATTAATTAATTTTCACTCCAGAACCAAATTATCTGCAGTGACAATCAGACTCAGTGCTAGGGACTCCCAGGCCTCCCCCTCACGTAGCTGATCCACACCTCTCTGCCCTGGACTTGAAGTCCCTTCTTTGCTTCCTGATGTGTTGCTGTCACTCCCACTGGATATGAAGGGAAGGACTTTGCCTCTCGCTCCTCACTCCACACCTGCAACCCGCTCAGGGACCAGCACTCAATGGCTTTTTCATGGAAGAGAAAAAGAATGATGCTGAATAAAAGAATGAATGAATGAGTGAATGAATGAATGATTGAATGAATGGTTCATAATCTCTACAGAGACTGGAAGCTGGATGCAGAGCCCTAAGAGGTTTTGGTCACACCTATTCCTTGTCTCTCTAGGAGCTGAGACCCACGTACTATCCCTCTGACCACCTGCCCCGGAAGCCCCCTCAGGAGCCAAGTCCCACAGTGACTATGGGGCTATTCAGCCATGGGAGAGTTTCCTGTGCTGCACAGGTCCTGCCGGCTCTTGGTTCTAGTGTTTTTGTTTGTTTATTTTATACTCAACTGAGGACATGCTGATTGATTTTGGAGACAGAGGGACCAGAGGGAGAGAAAGTGGAAGGGAAACATCAATCAGTTGCCTTTTTCACGCACCACAACCAGGGACTGAACCCACAATGTAGGCATGTGCCCGACTGGGAATCAAACCCACAGCCTTGCAGTTTCTGGGATGATCTTCCAACCTATCCTAAAGGGCCAGGACCCTGGAGTTCTTAAACTCACCTGTAACCCCCACTGCTCATTACCAAGGACATTTCTGGCTCTCTCTGCTCCTTCCAAGCCTCTCATCTGCCTCCTCCTTCACTCCATCTGCACTGCCCTGCTCTGCTCTGCCTCCTCCACCCTGCAGGCTCCCTAGATTCTCCTGTTAACACCTGTGCCCAGGCCCACCTCCCTGGGCAACAGGAAAAGACACAGAAGTCAGTCAGAGCAGCAGCCCCGGCTCCATCGGGAGCCAGGTTCCCAGGTCACCAGGAGAAAGAGCCTCTGCTGTGCCCCCATCCAAGGCCCCTCCCTCCCTCATGCCAAGAACAGGAACAGGCCACCTGACAGGGACATGTAAACCATTGATCTACTCTCTGTGTGACTCAGCCAGGGAGTCAAAGGCAGAAGGACAGGCCTAAGTCCCCAAAAGCTCACAGGATCATTTCACCCCTGACTCGTGACTCACATCCACGTGGTGTGAGGCTCCTATTCCTCCCAGGGACCTGGAGACATTCCCAAGGTGGGCTGGTGACCCTGCACCATCTGACTGGTTCACAGCCTATGTCACACACATGTCCTCATGACACCTTTGCCATGGGGTGGGACCCTCTCACACAGGGAGGTGCACCAGCCTCTGTCCTTTCTCTTAGACGCTGTCCAACTTGAATGAATTTGATCAAAGCTCAGTTCTGTTTCCTGGGTTAGGTGGGGGCTCCTCCCACTAGCCTGACTGTCCACACAAACTGATGACAGGGATCTTCTTCCTACATGTACTAACATGACACGAATCTTTTCTACCAGTTTGCTGTCATCCCTCCCTTTATACAACAGAGATGCCAACCCGTGCCCTCTGGTCACTCTGTCCCCTTAGCAGGACTCACAGTCTCTCTCTCCCCAGGGAGACACTGACTTCATACTCATTATAGCATCTTCTTTTGGTCACAGTGTGTCCTGGTTGGACTCAGAACTTGGTCTGTGACCTTCAAAGTGCTCTCTAGACAGAGAGATTCCTCCAGAGACTGGCCTTAGATCTTTGGGGCATTAATATGATTTTCACATATTCTTTCATAATTTAACTTAAATTTCTGTCTCGTAATGCCAAACACAATTTGCTGTGTCCATGGCCACAGGATGGAGATAACATTCAGGTGTTTTCTGAAAACCAGACCAACCTCCACCCCAGAGCTCAGTGCCGATGGTCCAGGAGGCACTCACCAGTCACTGTGATGGTCCTACAGGACCATCATAGTCCCATGGTCCCATAAGGGCCATATTTTCAGCAAGTTCCAGCTCCCCACTTCCCACAAGTCCCCCCTTCTGTAGTTGCTGTCGTCTGAGTGTTTGAGGAAGGGCCCTGCCCATTGCAGTGGGAGACAGGACAGTAAAGACTGAGGACAGAGAGCCTGGTTCTGCTGCCTAAGCCAGCTCTGTGTCCCTCACCCTTGTCTCAATCATTCCTGGGCTCTTCTCTACCCTTTCTGGGGTCACTGTCTCATGTCAATCACCAATAAACTACAGGGTACACAGCCCACCTCAAGGTCCTCCAGCCTTAGGCAAGAACTCACCACCAGACTTTCTTCTGACCTCCTGTGTATGCTTTCTGCGCAAAGTGCCAGCCAAAGTGACCCCTTCAGCCTGAATGTTCTCTGTGAGTAACTTCCGTTCCTGCCTATTCCAGGCTGCCGCCCAAATCCAAACATCAGAGGCCAGGATACAACTATCCCTGTCACGAATACACAAACCCTCACCCAGGACACCAACAGTGGCCATGACTCCCTGTCCCAGAAAAACCCGGGCAGGTGCAGCCCTGAGCCAAGACTAGGATGGGATGGGCGGCCCCTGTCTTGAAAGGCTCCCAGTCAACACCCTGTGGTGGGACAACAGGTTAATGTCTCAGACTCAGCTCAGTGAACATAGGGGTTGTGTTGGGACCTTTCACAACAAGGATGGGGCCCATCTCAGAGGGACACTGGGGCCCTTACACAGGCCAGGAGCTTTCTCTTCCCTCTGGTGACATCATGTGTGGCTTTGCTCTGTTTGCTCCAGATGGCCCAGACACCCCCTCCATTTCCCCCTCAGACTCCCATTACCCACCAGGGGAAAACCTCAACCTCTCCTGCCATGCAGCCTCTAACCCACCTGCACAGTATTCTTGCCTTATTAATGGAGACCCCAGCCACCCACATGTGAGCTCTTTATCCCCAGCATCACTGCAAGTGACAGTGGGTCCTATACCTGCATCACCCATAACTCTGTCACTGGCTATAACAGGACCACAGTCAGGACCATCACAGTGACTGGTAAGTACCTCCTGGGCCATCGGCACTGAGCTCTGGGGAGGAGGTTAGTCTGGTTTTCAGAAAAGAGCCTGGATGCTGTCTCCATCCTGTGGCCATGGACACAGCAAATCACAAATCCTTCCCCTGAACCCTCCCCCACATCTCTGTCGTCTCTCTCCTCCCCTTGCTCTTCTGATTTCTCATGGCAGAGCTGGGGTTCAGTCTTGGAAGTGAGGAAGGGGGTTCTCTCAGCCCCACAAAAGTACCACATAGTGGAGGGGGCTCCACAGAGGGGGAAACACAAGGGGCCTCATGGTCAAGTTGCTTTTTCTGTCACTAACACATTCCTTCTCTCACCTCCTTCTTTTCTGTGACCCACTCCATGTCATATAGAGAACATACGAGACTTCGAGTCAAGCTCACCTCTTTCTCCCCAAATGAAAGGGTGAAACCCGCTCCAAGGAGGGTGAGCAGGACAGACCCTTGCTCTCTTCTCTGTTCCAGGCTCACCTGGTGCCTGACCCTGCTGCCCCCTGTGCTGGGACAGGGCCCTGGAGGAGTTGCATGGGTGGCCTGTCCTCAACTGGGCCAAAACGTGCGACTACAGAGCCTCCCTCCAGCAAGGCTGCATGGAAACAGCCACAGTGTAGGCACCTCTGAACCGTGTCCTGACTCTGAGGTCACCATCTGTGTAACACTGTGTGACACCAACATGCATGATGTTCCAGAGGAGAGCAGTGAGCAATGGTACTTACCTGACAGATGGGTAGATTCCTCCATGAAGTTCCTTCATGGGACAAAAGGAGCAGTGCCACAAAGTTTGAAGTTTACAGAGAAGGCTGAGAGTCCCAGCCCGTGTTAAACTGTGACTGCTTCTCTCTAGAGGTTTCTCTTCTCTGTGATATTCACTCCACAGGCCAGGAAGTAAAAGTCCTCTTCACACTGAGAAAGCCTTTGGATTGGAATTTATTGAGGTCCTAAGGTCAGGAAGACTGACTGGGCTGTCCTCATTGTCCTCTAAATTATTTAACAAACAGGAAAAGCCTTCCCTTGTCTAGGTAAAGCCATCATACAGAGAGAGGGTTTGATCACATAGAAAGTCTGACAAAACTACAGGAAAGAGTCACAGGAAAGTCGATGGGTGAAAAATTCCACCTGAGGCTGAGATGCTGGACACATGGACTGAGAAAAGCCTTCTAGTGCTCATTCTACAGGGGTGCAGGGGGACAGGTCACAGACATCCTGGGGTGATCTCGTATCAAAGGGAGAGATATAGCCCTCTCCTTATATATTGTCACCTGAACAAAGACGCTGGTCCTCCTTCAGAGGTCAGGGCCATCCTCTGGTGACCATATCAGAGCTCCCTGGAGACTGTGACTGGCTGAGACTCTGAGAAAGGAGCCCACTCTCAGTCAGTGTCCTTCTCGTTTCTCCGCAGAGCATGTGCAGAAGCCCTCCATCCGAGCCAGGAGCACCACCATCACAGAGCAAATGGACACCATAGTCTTGACCTGCCTCACAAATGACACTGGGGTCTCCATCTGGTGGTTCTTCAATGACCAGAGACTCCTGCTCACAGAGAGGATGAAGCTGTCCCGGGACAACAGCACCCTCACCATAGAGCCCGTCTTCATGTGGTACGATGCTGGGGTTTATCAGTGTGAGGTCTCCAACCCCGGCAGCACCAGCAAAAGTGAACCCCTCAGATTGCGTATACAATGTAAGTGACCCTTGACCTCTCCCACCTGCCCCTCCATGTATCTCACAGGCAGGGGAATGAGGTGGAGAAAGCCTTCAGGAATGGGTAACCCAGTGAAAGTCTATAGAGCAACAAGAGGAAGAACCCATATTAGACTGATCTCATCTTAGTCTGGGTTCTATGTGCACGAGCTGGCTGACCTCGGGCTGACTTTCACCCACCTGAGCCTCAGTTTCCTCGTCTATAAACTGGAATAAAACAGCTGGATTATAGGACAGTTGTGAGGATGTTTACTATGAGATTTAGTGAGATTAAAGCCCTTAGGCTCACTCACAGGCAGAGCTCAGTCAGTGCTGTCAGATAGTGTTATTTGTATGAACATTGTTGTCATCAGCTGTCAGTCCAGCAGAACTGGGTGAAAATGTTGTTTACATTCACCTCATCTGTGACCTCCAGCGGTTTTTAAGCACTTCCCATCTATATTCTGTCCATGCTCCGTGAGGGTGACACCCACCCCTCATGGGAATGGAAGGACCAGATAACGGACAGGGATTCCCACCCTTCCTGGGCCACTGAACACAGTCGGTGCATCCTCACCACGAATCAGCACTGAGTGGACAGGTCAGGGCCTGCCCTCTGAGATAGTCATCAGGGCTGGAGAAGAGGAAACAGAGGGAAGGGACACAAGGAGAGAGGGGAGAGGAGTCAGGAGGACAGTGAACAGGACAAGGGAGTGGCAGGTGTGAGAGCACATGCACAGTTAGAGCCGATGGAAGGTTCCAGTGTGTGAAATGAGAGGATGCAACCCAGGGCAGGGGATCAAGTGAGACCTTGACCTTCACACGAAGTCAAACCATCATGGAGGTTCCTGTCCTGGGTCCTCAGTGCCTTTCCTGGTCACTGCTTCTCCACCCCCATCTGCCTGTGGCCCTTCCCCTGTGGACCCAGGACCGCCATGGTTTCTAAAGGCCTTTTTTCACAAAGACAGTAGAATGACAACACTCCAAAACCACACACAGACGGTGACAGCTTCTTTCTTTCTAAGCAGGCCTCCCCCCTGCAAGGCCCCTTGTGGTTTCCCCTGAGTGGACTTGGGCTTCAACCCTCCCTTCTGCCCTTCTCCTTTCAACAGTGTATGACGACACTGGCTACCACGTGTGGACCATCGCTGGCATCGTGATTGGGGTCCTCGTCCTGGCTCTGGGGACCTCCCTGGGGTGTTTCCTGTACCACAGGAGATCTAGAAGGTAAGATGGCATTTCCTTCACCCTAATCCTGCCCACCCCAGGCTGACACACTGCTGACCCCCGCTGATCCCAGGCCAGGAGAAGGACACCCACCCCTGATGCTGGGCTGGCTCTCTGTGGTCTCCCAACTTCCCCAAGGACATTCCTAACTCACTTTCTCCAGCTCCTCCTGCACCAGCTGCTGACCAGGGCAGTTTTCTCAACAGCTTCCTCCTCTATAAATGAGTCACAACCAAGGAACTGTCCCCCCAGGGTGGTCCCGGTTCACTCCTCACACCTGCCCAGGGCTGGCAGGGAGTAATTGCTCAGTGGGGCACCTGTTGCTGTTTCTCTAAATCCACCCACCCTGTGAGGGGGATCTGCTGCCCCAGGATCTGAAGGGCGTCCTGGCCAAGGTCACACAGCTGAGGGTAGCAGAGCCTGCACAGGCTGGGTGGGCTCAGGAGCCCCCACATGGCCGAGTTGGGAACCACAACCCTGATGTGTGAGACAGGAGACCTGGGCCTGGACAGGACAGCAGACCCTGTGCTGTGGTTTTGGCCTCCAGTGCAGGCAGATGGAGACAGAGGACAGGCCCCTGTCACAGTTCAGCTCCTGGGCCTGAGGGGCGGGTCTGGCCCCAGCAGGTACCACATCCATCCAGAGGCAGCAGGCCTGGGGTCCCCAGTGTCTTGCACAAGCCACTGGCCCTGCTTCCCTCTGAGGCCTTGACCTTCCCACAAAGTCAGACCCTCAGAGTGGTTCCTGTCCTGGGTCTTCAGTCCCTTCTTCATTAACTGCCTGTCGAACCCAACCTACCTGTGGGTCCTTCCCCTGTGGGCCCAGCTCAGCCATGGATTCTTTAGGCCTTGCCTCAGTTTCCCTCTCCTGGGCCCTCCCCCTCCAAAACAGTGGAGAGAGGTCCCCACCCTCTGATGGAAATGGAGACCCTCCTTCTCCCCTTTTGTGACACCAAAGCTCTTCCTCCTCCCCTCACCAGTAAGTCTGACCTCTCCTAGGTCCAGTGAACCACGAGGCCTCACAGAGCACCGACCCCCAGCACCCACCCTTGGTGAATGTCTGTTCAGCCTGGGAGAGGCTGGACCCCTGACCTTCCCACAGTGTCCTCTCCTGCCTGTCCCCCTCGGGCTCTGACCCCTCCCTGGGCTTCATGGTGGGGCTCTCAACAATCTCTCAGCACAAGGGTCCCTGATCGCCTGTCACCCCTGACCTGTAGGGCTGTGTCGTGTCACCACCTCCCTCACTGAACCTGAAAATGGCCAGAGGGTCTGTTTCTGGGAGATGCTCTGTCACCCCTGGTTGTCTGGGAGCCAAAGACCCACCCCCTCCAGGACTATGGGTGAAGCATCCTCACCCGTAGGTGCTAACCCTTGTCTCTGCCCCCAGGCCAGGGTCCCTCTGGAGCCTCCACCTCCCCAGTGAGTCTGTCCCCTCCCCATCTCTCCACCCAGGCCCCTGGCTGTGCAGGCTCAGGGCAAGGGCACCATCCAAACTCTCCATGCAGCACAGACCCCATCCCCAGAGCAGCCAGCACAAGGCCCACCCCGCCCTGGCAGGGAGGGGGTACCCACGTCAAGGACAGACCCCCACCCAGTCCTGAGTCTGCCCTGGTTCCCTGGGGCAGCCTGAGGGGAACCCTGGGGTCCAGCAAGGGGCAGAGCAGGCACTGAGAGCACCAGACAGGGTCCCCAGGTTAACAAGGGCAAGGGGGGTGCAGTGTGGACTGAAACTGGGGTACAGGGTGACAGGTAGGTGTGGGGACAGCTGCTCAGGAGGCAGAGTTGTCACTCCTGTGCAGAAATGGCCTCCTGCCCTGTCCCCTGATGCCCTCTCTCTACCCCCTGCACAGGGCCTCCTCCCCGGCACCAGGACAGCCAGCCCCATCTAAGACGTGAGTGTGGGTGACGAACATGCTGTCCTGCAGGTCACAGAGGCCCAGGACCTGCCCCAGCCCAAGCCTGGCTGTGCTCCATGTTCAGGAAACAGCAGCATAATGTGCAAACCGAGGGTGGGGAGAGGGAGGTTCCCGGGGACAGGCACCCCCAGCACAGGCAGGCCCCAGCGCACCTGGGAAATGCTGCACTTGTTCTGAGGACAAGTGCATCAGGGCTCAGGGGCCTCTCCTTCCCTCACAGGACTTGCTGCACCCGAGCACAGACGTGTACTGCCGCATCAGCCCCACAGCCGACGGGGCTTCCTAGTTCCTCCAGGTCCTGATCCTCCAGGGCTGTGGGGAGGGACAGCCTGAGACCCACACCCGGGGTGGGGGGGCGGTCAGGACCTGCAGCTTGAGCCAGAGAACCAGCCCTGAGCCAGGAGGATATTCAGGGACCTGGGGCCGAGGTGGGGGTACCTCCCAATTCCTAAGGTCCTGACAGGCTACCCTGACCCTGATGGACCACCTATGTGATCCAAATAAAGGGGACCTTCCTCTCGTTTCCTCTTTTTCTATGAGAAGGAACACCTTCTAGTACAAATTCACCTGAAACTCTGGGTCGTCCTCTCCAGGGTCATGTAGGGAAAACATCTCTAAGGTACCCCAGGCCCCTTATTCCGTTTCCTGGGAGAGGCAAGAGTGTGTGGGTGTGGAAATGAGGTGGGAGGTGCCTGCTAAAGCAGAAGCCCTGTGCAAGCCCTGCCCGTGTTGCATAGTTTGTTGCAACAATGTCCCAATGTGCCAGGGAGATGGGTCCAATCTCCGGTTGGCACACATACAGGAATCAACCAAGCAATGCATGGATGGGTGGAAGAAGAAATCGATGTTTCTATCTATCTATATATCTATCTACCTATCTGTCTATCTCTCTCCCTCCCTTCCTCTCTCTCTCAAATCAGCCAATAAAAAATAAAATAGAAGAATCACAGACATGAGAGGAACTGCAACCAACCAGGAGAGCCCTGGGCTGTCCTCACACGGCCCCGAGGACCAGGCCATAAATACTTCCAGGGTTTGTCCCTTTGCACCTGTGTCCTGTGTCTCGGGAGCACCCAATAGGGGTCATCTCATGTTCTCACAAAGATGAGCAACGATCCTTCTGTGGGGTCATGGACTGCACCCATGGGTAGGGCATATTCCTATGCATAGCCCCTTCTGAGTCTCCCAGAGTCCCGTGTCCTTCCTCCTTTCTCACCTGGACCTGAGTTCTGTCCATGAGTTTGTGCTTTCACCCAAGGCCAGCCCTCAGGCCATCTTCACATCTGGGGGACACAGAGAGGCTGTCAGAGTAACCAAGGTGGGGAGGACCCAGGACTCCTGCCCTGAGCAGCCCCTCCTTGGCCTGTCCATGACTTCAGCCCCCACTTCCCATCAGTCCCCTCTCTCCTACTGCACCTGGATCTCACTGACACAGAGTCCTTTCCACAACTGAGCGTCCAGCTGTTGCTCGAACAAACTCTCACCCAGGACCCCATGGAGACAGGACCAAGTGTCTCCTCCTGCACCTGGCCCAGCTCCTCCCACACAAGCCTCACCTGCAGCCCCCTCTGCCCATCTGGGCCTGCAGCTCTCAGTCCTTCCCTGAGGGCCCAGGATGGGTGCTGTTCCCATATAGGTCCACTCAGGTCAGTGTGCCCATGTTCACACAACAAAGCTGGCCCAACACAGAGACACAGAATCAAAGGTCAGCAGGACATTTCTGTTGCCAGAGCATCATCTGTCATGAGATGAGACAGAGTAACAAACCATCGAAGGTTCGCATCACAATGGAGCTCTGACCCTCTCCCTGACCCAGTGCACACAAGCTTGGGTTAGACAAGGTGATGCCTCTTGCAGGTTTCCTGCAGCTGCTGCAGCCAATCACCACACACTTAGCTGAGTCACACAGCACAACTCACAATGTGGACGTGGTTGGTTTTTTCTGGAGATTCTTCCTGGTGTCCTCACCTTTTCAAACTGTTAGAGGCACCTGCATTGTGTGGCTTGTGGCCCCACCTCCATCTTCAGAGCCTGCAGTGCAGCATCTTGAAGCCCCTGCGCTCTGCTGCCCCCACCACACCTCCCTCCAGGTCTCTGCCTCTCCTGCCTCCTCTGTCCCTTATGAGGACAGGACCCTTGTGATTTCCATAGGCTCAATGATGAACAACGTTAAATTCCCAATCACATGATCTTTCAGCTGTAAGTTTCTCTTATCAAGCAACATATTCACAGATTCTAGGGATGAGGATGTGGACTTTAGGGGCCCTTGTTCTGTCTACCACCCCTCTCCAGGCCACGTTCATCATCTTCCTCCACCATGAACTGCCTGTGGGCAGCCTGGACTTGGTCCTGCTGACCCTGAGGTCAGTTCCTGCAGTGACGTCCACAACACCCTCCGGCCTCCAAGGGAGGGAGACAGTGGCCCTTCCACACACCCAGCAGCCCCCTCCACCTCTTCTTGTTAGTAAAGCTCCTTGTGAACAATGAAAACAAAGCAGACACAGCTCCCAGCTCCCAGCACACAAGCCCTGGTTGCATGTCCTCAGGACCTCAGATGGGATCTCGGGATGCTGCTCCCAGGAGCTGCAGCAGGGTGGACGCCATGAGAAGGGACTGTGGGAAGGCCACTTGTTCCTATTCCACAGGAGAAAGACACAACCAGGGGGATGTTATCACCGGGAAAACCTGACTCTGTTCCAGTTTATCATGACCCCATTGCGCCTGGCTGAACATTAGTTGTTGGCACTGCCCACACACGACCGAGTGCTGCACTCAGGGGGGACCTCTCAGAGGGTGACCGTGCTCCAGCCTCAGGGAATCTCCCTGCCCCTGAGGGTCAGGCCACTGTCTTGCCTATAACACAGAGGGGACGCTCCCGGAAGAGTCTACATATGCTCCCAGCACACTAGGTGCTGCCCTTCTCTCTCCCTCACGATTATCACTCACTAGTCCCTCCTGTAGCTGCTGACTAAGTGCCTGGCTCCCTGCTCCAAGGATTCAACTCACCCAGGCCTGTCTCTGTGGTGACCCCAGGCCAAGCCCACTGCTGGCACAGAGGAAATGCTCAGGGAATGCTCACAGGGACAGAAGCAAAGCAATGAAGCAGAAACTGAAGACCAGATGGACGGGACACTGGAAGACACACAGACACTGGCACCATTGATGGCTCTCCCCTGCACCTCCGTCCTGGACCTTCAGGAAGTCAGGAGGACAGGTGTGCACAGGTGTGAGGGACAAGCTCCTTCAGGACCAGGACACTGACCACACCCACCCTCACCTCTCAGCTGTGAGCAGCTCCACTCCCTGCTGTGGGCTCTGCTGGCACCACCTGCTCTTCTCACACAGGGTCCTGACCAGACCCAGAACCCCTGACCCAGAACGCCTGACCCAGATCCAAGGTGATGTCAGCATCAGGCAGGACTGAGCCTCCTGGCTGCAGAGGGAGTCAGGACCAGTGTCCCACAGCCCAGCTGACCCACCCCCACAACCTCTCCTCCCAGGACACACAGAGTTGCACTTCACACCTCTAGGGACTAGTCCTGCTGGGACCCCCAGGTCCTGACCTTCTGTCCCTGGAGGCTGTGCCCAGGCTAGAGCCCCAGGGAGATAGGAGGGGGGTCCCTCTCCCCAGTTCTCACCCACTTGACCACTTCTCTCCCCAGTGTCACCTCTGTGACCTTCCTGCTGAGGGGAAACCCAGTGTCCCCAGAGCATTAGAGAAGGTGGGGAAGACCCAGTGCCCAGCTGGGTTTCTGTGTCACAAACCGATATAGTCACTTGCTTTTGGGGACCCTGTAGCTGTCTGTGTTGTGCTGAGAGACCCAAAACCAGGACACAACAGAGGCCAACACCAGGGTGAGTGAGAGACAGTCTCTCAGGATATGAGTCCCCATCAACCTTGTCAATGAATGTGGGCAACAGGAAGGAGGGGAGAGGAGAGGCAGAACTGGGGGAAGGAGAAGGAGGTACTGGGCACAGTCTCTCACCCCCCCAGTTTACTGACTGCCTGGGTGCTCCTTCCCTGGAAGATCTACCCACAGGGAGGAGGGACAGCAGCTCTAACCCATCTGAACAGTGGGGCTCCTGAGCACTTCTTGAATCCAAGCTCCTGTCACAGAGGGAGAAACAGAGCAGACAGCAGACACCACGGAATCCCCCTCAGCCCCTGCCCACAGAGGCCGTGTCCCCTTGCCTGCCAGGGGCTCCTGCCAGTAAGCAGGGCCAATCCCTGGGTGTGGATGGGAGGATGGGGACAGAGACTAACTGGGTCCCCTGGGGAGGACAGGGCTCTGAGAGGGCACAGAGGGCTTCTGTTTGGACCTGAGGGGAGAGGAGAGCGGAGCAGAGTAGGATGGGGGAGGGTGCTCAGCAACAGGGAAATCTCATGACCTGGAAAAGTGAGGGGAAGGAAAACCTCTATTACAGAAGGATTTACAAGTTTGTCATCACTGAGCAGTGATTTCTGAAAACAGGTGATAAAAGGAACAATTTACATCAGTGTGATACCAGAAAAACTTAACCAGAGACAGTAAACTTTCTTTATCACCATCAGAAATAAGCAGGTACACCCCAGGAGGGTCATTCAGGGAGGGTCATTCACCACTCACTCATTGCCCCACAGGTGCTTGCAGCCTGTTCCAGGCACTGGGGGTGCAACAGGGTCAAACAAGCCCCTGCCCACATGGTGCTCATGTTCTGTGGGGAGGAGACAGACAAGGAAAGATCTAGGTGTGAGGTCAGGTACCCACAGGTGCCACCAAAGCCAAAGAGCCAGCACAGGTCAGAAAGTGAAGACAGGGTCTCTAGAAAAAGTGGTCAAGAGAGAAGTCTTTCAAGGATGCCCCTGAGTGTCAGCAGGGGTCTGAGGGCAGTGAGTGGGTAGCCAGGTAGAGCACCTGGGGAAGAGCATTGGAAACAGAGGAAGCAATGGGTTCAGAGATGCTGAAGTAATGGTGGCCATGCTGCTGAACTTGGCCATGGGAGACACACTCACACACACACACAGAACAAGGCTGAGATGAAAAGATTTGCTCAGAACCGAGGACCTCATCTTTCCCTCCTAACACATAGACCCAAATATTGATCAATTTCTCCTTTCCTCCTAGTCTCACTGTTAACCTTCTAGAGCCTGCCCAGCACTGCCCAGCTCACTATTGATTCAGTGCCACCCAATGCTGCTGAAGGGGAGGGTGTGCTTATCCTTGTCCACAGTGTGCCTGAAAATTGCAGACTATGCCTGGTACAGGAGGAAAGTGTGTATGACAACCCCTTCTGCATCACGTCCCAGGGTGGGGCTGAGCATTTAGTGCAGGACACACACAGTGGAGACAAACTTCCTAAGATCAGAGCTCCCTCCCCAGATTCCAGCCCTGCATACACTCACCACAGAGAGAAGGGGCAGTCTGGCAGGAGGAACTCAGCAGAGAGAGACCAGTCTCAGTCCAGCCCCAACAGACCATGAGCAGCCGCTGATCCGAGTCCCTGAGGGTCTGTCTGCAGCCACAGTCCCTTCCCTTCTCCACCCCAGGGGCCTCACTAGGGGATCTACAGACTAACCACTGGCTCAGATCCATTCTTCTTAGGCATACTTAGCTCAGAATTAAACATTCTGCACCGAGGTGTAAAAGGAAATGCAGAATTGACCTGTTTTTATTCCATAACCAAAGAACCCGCAGCAACAATCAGTCAGTGCTGGGAATGCCCAGGCCTCCCCCTCAGGTGGCCCATCCACACCTCCCTGCCCTGGACTGAAATCCCTTCTTTGCTTTCTGATGTGTTGGTGTCACTCCCACAGATAAGAAGGGAAGGACTTTGCCTCTCACTCCTCACTCCACACCTGCAACCAGCTCAGGGACCAGCACTCAACTCATCTTTCATGGAAGAGAGAGGAGTCAATGAATGAATGAATGAATGATCCAAAATCTCTTTAGAGACTGGAAACTAAATGCGGAGTCCCTGGAATTCAGACCACAGGAGACAGAATCCCTGCCCACCTCCTCCCCACCTCGGAGATGAGAACCATGTCTTACTTAGACTCTTTGCTGATCTCTAGAGAAACATTGCTTCCTACAATTGGTCTTAGTCCTTGAGGTTTTAACAATAATTGTGACTTATAGGAGAATGTTAACTTCTTTTTTAAAAATCTTTTGGCTTCAATTTTTTATTTGTTTAAAGATTGTATTTATTTGTTATTAGAGAGGGGAAGGGAGGGAGAAGGAGAGGAAGAGAAACATCAATGTGTGGTTGCCTCTCACATGCCTCCTATGGGGACCTGGCCAGCAACCCAGGCATGTGCCCTGATTGGGAATTGAACCAGCAACCCTTTGGTTTGTAGCTCCATGCTCAATCCACTGAGCCACACCAGCCAGGGTTTAACTTCCATTTTACATTTCTCTCGTACCTAACAAATATAAATGGCCCACAAGGGCCACAACTGTGGCAAATCCATGCCTTTCTCTTTCCTTCACTCACCCCTTCTGCATTTGTACATGCGGTCTCCTGCCCTCAGCAGAGGGAGAATGACTTTAATGACCAAGGGCAGAGCACAGGGTTCTGCTGCCACTGTCGGCTCCTGCCTGACTCCCCCTCCCTCTTTTCTAGATCATTCCTTGGACTCTGCTCTGTCATTTATTGGCTCACTGGCTCATGTCAGTCACACTCACCTAGAAAGTCCTGACCCACTTTTGGCCCTTGGGCCTGACTAGTCAGCTGACCACCAGCTTGCTCCTGGTCTTTATGTGTTATTTCTGCTCACACCAGACTCCAGGATGTCCTGGGAAGTGGTGCCTCACAGAGACACACCTCAGCTGGGTGGCGGAGGGCTGTGCCGCTGGAAGAGATGGCCTCTGGGGCCAGGCAGTCAGCGGGTCGCTGACTCCAGGTCCTCCAAGTGCTCTGTTCTCTCACAACAAAACCCTGCTGATCTACTGACCCCTGAGAGCATCTGTGCTTTCCTCCAGACATAGGGCTGAAAGCCTTACGTTCTCTGAGTGCTCAGGTCCTCATGTGTTTATTTTGAGATATGCAAACCCGCCTCATTCTGTTAAGAACCTAAGTTGGCTGAGAGGTGACAGGTGCCAACTCTGATTGCAGAAGCCTTTGAAGGACTCACAGGTGCCACCCAGGGCACTGTTCTCCCTGTTACCTGCACAGCAGACTTACCCACACCCAGCATCACAACCACAACTCCCACCTGAGAGGTCTGATTTGTGTTTTCCTAATCACAGTGATGTTCAGCACCTTTTCATGTGCTTATTGGCCATTTGTGTGTCTTCTTCAGAGAAATGTCTGTTCACGTGCTTTGCCCATTATTTGAATCATGTTACTTGGTTTTGTGATTGCTGTTGAGTTGTGGGAGCTCTTTGTCTATTCTGGTTATGGACCCCTCCTCCTGCACGTGGTTTGCAAACCATTTTGCCCGTCCCCTAGGTCACGTTTCACTCTGTCGACTATGTCCTTTGATGAATGTAAGTTTTTCATTTTGACAGAGTCCAATTTCTCTTTTTAGGTTTTCACCCATGTTCTTCATGTCAAACTCAAGAAATCATTGCTAAATCCAATGTTATAATGCTTCCCCATATATATTCTTCAAAAAATTTTATAGCTTCAGGTTTTATTTTTAGAATTCAATCTGTTTTGAGTTCATTACTGTTCATGATATAAGAGAGCAGTTCACTTCGATTGTTTCCTTGCACATGCTGTTCAACACCTTCTGCTGAAAAGATGCAGTATCTCCATTCAGTGGTCTTGGCTCCTTTGCTGAAACCATTTGATCGTGTCTTTTGATGGAGAGAATTTGCATGCCTGTGCCACTCTATACTCTGAGCTCTGCAGTAACTTTTGAAATCAGGAAATTTGAGACCTCCAATGTTATTCTTTATCTTTAAGATCATTGCAGCCTTTTGGGATCCCTTGAAAGTCCTCATGAATTCTGGGGTGGATTTTTCTATTTCTGCAAAAAAGTCATTGGGATTTTGACAGGGGTTGTATCAAATATGTAGATAATTGGTGATTCCAATCCATGAGTTTGGATGTCTTTCCTTTTTTTTCTTTCTTCTTAACTTTCCTCAGGAAGCGTTTGCTAGTTTCCAGTGTACATGTCTTCTACTTTCTTGGTTAAGTTTATTTCATAGTATTTTAGTCTCTGTGATGCCATTGTAAATGGAACTGTTTTCCTAATTTCACTTTGGGTTTGTTTATTTTGCTGTAAAAAAATGGAAGTGATGCTGAGTGTTGGTTTTGTTTCCTGCAACTTCACTGACATCACTGGTCCTAACAGGTATTTTCCGTGTGGTGACAAGGGCAAAATCTTTGGTTTGCACATGTAAGATTATGTCATCTGTTCAAAGTCAACATTCTCCTCTCCAATTTGGATGCCTTTTATTTTATCTTCTTGTTCCAGCCAGAACTTCCAGTGTGATCATG